TGCAGGATTTCCTTTGCCACTATCCTCAACAACAACCTTCCATGTCATGGTCCTGGATGAAAATGATAACCCTCCTTTGCCAAGAAATATCTTCATTGAAGTGAAATATTTTGGTAGTTTCTTTCAGGGAGGCATGATCGGTAATGTGCATCCTGAGGACCCTGATGAATCTGATTCATTCACTTGTGCCATTAAAAATGGGCAAGTTACCATGTTTACAATACCCAATGGTACATGTGAGCTGTGGTCATCTCCTTTTCAAGGCGAGGCCACGTTTAACATCACTATTGAAGCTACGGACCAGCTTCACTTCCCAGTAAACAATAGTGTCTATGTTAACTACAAAGGTTTTACGAATGCTTCCATTGACAGCTGTGTATTGTTCTATGTGTCTTCATCGTCAATGAAGGAGTTCTTGTCTAATAAGTATTTGAGGTTTGTGAAAGCTTTGGACAGCCTGTTTAACCTGCAGGCCTCAAAGACTCATGTTTTTGGAATTAAGCACATTGGCAATGAAATCCTTCTTTTGGCTGCAGTCAAAAACTACAACGGCCAGTATCTAAGCAGAGAGGTGGCGAGTGGCATATCTGCTGGCCATAAGAAGCTACTGGAAGCTCAGAGCAATGTGACAATTTCTCACATCACCAGTGATCCATGTCTCACAAGCCCCTGTCACAATGGGGCATCCTGCAACAAAAACATCTACATCAGCCAAGAGGTTGCTGTCCTGGAGAGCTTGGCTGTCATCTTTGTGTCACCCCAGAAGGAGATTCTTAATTGTACCTGTCTGGCAGGCTTCATGGGTTCACTGTGTGAGGATGACATTGACGAGTGTGGCCCAAATCCCTGCCAGAATAATGGCACATGCGAGAATAATGCAGGAAGTTTCCACTGTCACTGTCTGGATGGCTTCTCTGGCTCCATCTGCTCCGGAGATTTTGACAGCTGTTTGAATGTGAATTGTCAAAACGGTGGAACGTGCATTCCCTCCCAGGATGGAGATTACTGTCTCTGTGTGCCCGGTTTCACAGGTATATCTTAATTATGAAAATAGTACATCACATAGCATTGAGTGTACATTTAAAACAAATTGTGGTTAATTCCATTTTCCAGGTGAGTTTTGTGAGGACCTTATAGATCACTGCAGATCTGCACCGTGCGTTCAGGGCAGCTGCATCAACCAGCACACCGGGTTCTCCTGCCATTGCCCCTTTGGTGAGAATAATCCCAGTGAAATTATGTGTTGAGCAAGAGGATGGCTATTTAGCAAAGATGTTACTGGAAAAATGACAGAGGAACACCTAGAAATCTGTTATTGTACAGACAAAAGATGTCTTAAAGATGTCAAAATAACCTCGTCAGCACTTCTAAATGTTGCAGATTAATGTAATGCATGTTTTGTGTTGTATTTATACATTTAATTTAATTTAATTTAATAACATCTATTAATTTGCTGTCCACCTTTATTCATAAATTCATCTCTATTCTAGGAGTCAGTGGAGTCCACTGTGAGGAGCACAGTTATGGCTTTCAAGAGCTGTCCTTCATGGAATTTCCACCCCTGGATCGTAGGACTAACCTTATTTCTTTTGAGTTTGCGACAGTGCAGAAAAACTCCCTCCTTCTGTATAATCCTGGAGGATGGTCCAGCAGGGAGTTCATGGCACTGGAGATCCTCGGTGGGACGGTCCACTTCTCTTACGACCTGGGTTTGGGGCCCGTGAGAATGCAGACCCACAAACAAGTTGCAGATGGATTGTTTCACAGTGTTTCTATCAGGAGGATTGGTAATGTGAGTTTTAAACATGTCCGTGTAGATTGTTAATCAGGGAGCACTATTCAGGGGGGAAAGAACAATGTAGATTCATGTAGAGATGTATGAATTCTACAGATGGGGTCTTTGCGCGTGGACAACTGCACAGATTTTGAAAGCGATGGATTTTGTTTCTCAAAGAATCCTGGTGTAATCTCAGAAAGGTACTTGTGAAGCAGATCTCATAATCATTAATTATTTATGTTTGTTTTTTTGAGTCAATCCTCCTCCTTTTCTACCTGTATTTCTAATCAGGACTCTTGATGTTGGGAACATGAATATGACATTTGGAGGAATGAGAACTCTTGAGCTCATTTTGCTGCATCCAAGGCAGATAAAAAGTCACAACTTCGTTGGATGCATTCGAAATATTCATGTTAATGGGATCCTGTTGAGACCTTCAATGGCCCTGGCAACATTTAACGTTTATGAGGGGTAGGCGAGTTACACTTAAAACACATATGTGGGTTTGGTTTTGATGTTCCTCTTCTTTGTTTTTAGATTTATTTCAGTTTTTGCATTGTATGTTTTCTCTATAAAGGTGTCCTCGAGCTACAGAGCCTGCATGCAACAGCCTTCCATGCAAAAATGGCGGCGTGTGTCACGATCTCTGGTCTGATTATCTTTGTCAGTGCAAAACCCCTTTTACTGGAAGGAACTGTACTACAGGTGAAGGAGAAAAACAAGTATACATATGGGTGTATAAGTGACTTTTGTTAGGAAAGTTTGGTTAGATGTTATGCTTTTTTGTGCTTTTAATGCAGAAATGTCTGAGGAGCTTGTGATGAGATTCAATGGGAATGACTACATTGAATATGTCACAAAGGAGGGATTCAAGAGAGATTACCTGATGAAGAATTTGATGGATGATGAAAAAGTGGGAAGTGTCCAACACCAAGTCGTGATAAGTATCCGTTTTAAAACCAAAAACGACGGAGTGTTGCTCTTTGTTCTTGGGCTGACAGGTTTTTTTACTCTTATGGTAAGTATGAGATGTATTTAACATTTAGTCACGTATTCCTACGGATCATGTGAAAAAAAGCTTTAATTTGTCTTCAGATAAAGGACAGTAAGCCGGTGTACAGCTTCAAGGAAACGGTGTCGGGGCATCTGTCAGAGGTCACTGTGGGCCATCGGGTGGCTGATGGAGCCTGGCATGTCCTATCTTTGGTCCTCAATGGGCAAAATACTATTCTGTCTTTGGATGGTAAACTAGTCCTAAACAGCACTGAGCAAAGCATCGATCTGACTCCTGTTAGTGTCGAAAAGACATTCCTTGGTACTGCTCCGCCAATGGAATCAAAGCTTCAACTCTCAGGTGATCTGATGACTTATTAGATTTTATCAGGACAGATTTGGACATTGTTTAGCATTCTAATACATTGTAATTGCAATTGTGTGGATAGAAATGTTCAGCTGACACTTTAAGCTGGACTGATCTACTTATATTCTGCTTTTTACAGGGTTCAGAGGATGTGTGCAGTATGTCAACGTGACTGGCTACACGCTGCCTTTCAGTGGACGGAGTCTGATGGTGGAGGTCTATCCCAGCCGGAACCTTCTCCAGCCCGGCTGCAGCTCTGCAGGCCTCTGCCTGCCCGCGCCTTGCTTTGAGGAAAGTAAAGTTAAGAAGTGTCCCACCTTGCAGAATAGATCTTGTATCTGTTTGCGGAACGTATCGGAACATTTCTGCGACATCTGTGAGACGACCGCTGACCGCTGCCCAGAAAGGCAGCAGGGCAGCACGCCCCTGTGGCTCGTTGCTGGGATTCTTCCTCTTTTCTTGGTGGTTTTATTAATCTGTGGTGGATTGTACAAAGCAAGAAAGAGCAATACGAAGAGTCAAATAAGGAAAGGAACAGCAAACACAGCCTTTAGTTTTGATGAAAACGCAACGTTCACAGGTGCTGTATCTACAGAGAAAGGGAACCCTTATGACCCAGTGTGCCCCGGACAGCAGAGGTCAGGTATGGAATTTTACTGTGATGCCAGAGAAGAGAACAACACAACACATGAGCTGGAGTATTATGAAATTGGTAGTGTCTGTGGTACACTTCCCTCAGACAATGACTCAGTGAAACTCAGTTGGCGCAAGCATCCATTTGACCCAAAACATGTGAAAGCTGACACGAGACGGTGGAAAAGTCTAAAGAGGCTGATCACTGGGTCTAAAAAAGGAAGGTATGATGAAGAAAAAAAGCCAACTACTCCCTCCCAAAACAAGCAGAGACTGTGTCCTTCCACAAAGAGATTCTCTCAACAAGAACTCCTGGAGCCATCACAGTGTCTCACTTTTGAAGAAATTTACAAGCTTAATGCTCCCTTAGAGCCAAAAGCGTCAACTCAAGCATCCCTGAAACCTCGGCCTTCTAAGTCCACCATGAGGATGGGGGCTTTTTCAGCGTGTGAATCCGACAGTACATGCTCCGAGTCTGAATATAGACAGTTTCATATCCCCACTCAGAAAAAATATAGGCAGGATCAGTCGACTCCACCAGGACGTATCTTAAAGGAGGAAAGCATCCTGCCTGTCCACCTGACTACCAGCCCCTCTGCTGGGGGTCAGAAGGAACAGGAGAGAACTTCTCTCTCTATCATCGAACCCTGGGAAAATATTTTAGAGATGCATCTTCCTTTTAGCAGCTACGTACCCGTATTTGAGGATATTGCATGTCTCCCCTCTGCCTGTAGTTTTAGCTGTGATATGCAGAGTGACATAGAGGAAGTTATATGACTTGTGGTCAGGTGGATGAATGCAACCTGTTGTAAATGTTTCCGTTATAATTTCACAAAATGCTCACAGGTGATTTTTATCTTGCTGACCTCTAATAGTTTCAGACATTTTTAATAAGTAAAATCCATGTGAGTTTAATACTTCTTTATGTGGATGTAAAATGCAAACAAAAATGTCAGAATGCCGTCATTATTGTCTCAGAGCGAACTAGTTTTAAACTGACTTTCTTTTTCCTTACAAGTTATCTGAAGATGTTCATGTATACAAATAGTCAATGATATATTCAATGGGAACTCTGTTAAATATGAATGTTTTCCCTGGAAAAGGGTAAACATTTTTAAGGACTGTTAAAATTGTGCAACTTATCATTATACATTTTTTGAAAATTTCTATTTATCAAGGAGATATTTTTCCAATAGCTTTTTAATTTTCCTGGCATCAATGTTTAAATATTTTCAAGTTGAAATATTTCTCTATTTAAATGTTTGATGTGTTTTAATACAATTTTCAATCAAATTAAGCATCTGAATGATGTGAATCACTTCACTGAGTTTTTCATCCACATTTTACAAAGGATATGACT